GCCACTAAGCTAGGCATGACTCCCTTCCCTAGGCTTCCCATAAGGCTCTTGCTTGCTCAGTGATCTTCTGACTGCATGGAGTTGCCTCCTGGCTGTCTAGTGGGCCAACTTCAAGTGGAGGGAGAGGGGGGTGCAAGAGTCTTCTACGTCTAGTGGCCTTGTAGTATGGGATTTAGAGCCCACTCTAAATACCCCATAAGAGGCAGTTAATTAGGCCTGAAGTGTGGCCCAGTGGGTCTTCCATGTCCTAGACCAGTGGTTTTCAACCAGGTTTTTTCATTTGTGAGCCCCTAAAAAATTTCAAGTGGAAGGTGCGGACCCTTTTGAATGGTAAGTATGGGTATTCACATACTTCTGATTGATGATAGTCATCTTTTGTGGATGCCTTAGACATAGTCTGCAAATCCCCAGCCTATCCTAGGCAAGTGCCCTAACCACTATGATATTTGAAGAAAAGGAGGCTTATGATGCCTGCATCATGTTCAGCTCCCAAGACAAAAAAGCACTGCTACAACATGTTACGCATGTGGCCAGAAGCAGGTAGGATTCAAAGCAGTTGGTTAAAATTACCCCTGGACTGAATGGAAAGCCATGCGCCCCTGACTAATATTGCTGAGGGCAGCTGAGTGCTGCCCACTGGTGTGAATAGGTCAGCCCGGGCAGCTGCAGGCGGGGGCTGCTTCCAGTGGGTACGGACCTTTGAACCTGTTGGAAGTACAAAAGAATTGCACGGCCACACAGGCCAAACAATGTGTTCAGCTTTCTGTTCCTGGGCACTAGGCTCTGCGCTAATGGAGGATTACACATGGGTGTGTAGGACCCTTATGCACACCCCTTATGGGTGCGTAGGTGCCTTAGAGACCTTGAAGCACAGTTGGCTAAACCCATGACTAATAGGCTTGGTGCAAGGATAGGAAAAAGGGCACAAACCCCCTTCTCCCGCACAGCTCAGCAGCTAGCGCTCTCACGTGAGAAGCTGGCTGCCCTGTGTTCTAGATCCCTTTGCTCAGATGGGGTTGAACCCATGTCTTGGGTCTCCCAGAAAGCCATAGCACAGCCAGTTTTCTGGTGCTGCTGTTGAAGCTAACCTCATCATTGGAAAATATGGATGGAGGGCAGGGTGAAAGCATCTGCCTCCCTGGCAGCAAGGGCCCTGCATCGAGCCTAGAGCCACACACTCTCCTAATTGCCCTTTTCCACCTGACCCCTGGTTCCTCCCTGCAGGTATCCTAGGCCTTGCTTATAGGGGGCCAGCTTCAGAAGCGTGAGGAAAGCGCTTAAACAGTGGCTGGCCTGTGCTGTGGTTAGAGTGTCATGCTGGGAAGTCAGATACACATACAAGCCCCATGTACGGATGGGGAACCGAGGAGCCCCAGGTGAGTGCTTTAACTTCTGGTGAAGAAGGTAGAGGGGCTCTCTTTCACACTTACATATGCTTAGTACTTCCACAAGGAAGTACTAAAGCATGGCACTGTATGGCGACATGTAGACCACGGGCGACTGGTGTCTCCTGAGTCTGGGGGGGCACCTGCAGCAGTCGTGGGTGGCGTGGCCGGAGCTGGCAAGCATCCACAGATGCTGCTGACGGCCCAGTCCGGGGGGGGGGG